GGTACATGAAAAGGTGCTCAGTATCACTAATCATCAGGCACATGCAAATCAAAACCACAATGAGATATCACCTGACACCTGTTAGAATGGCTATCATCAAAAGCCAAGAAATTAACAAATGTTGGTGAGGATGTGGAGAAAAGGGAACCTCTGTGCACTGTTGGTGGGAATGCAAACTGGGGCAGCCACTCTGGAAAACAGTACGAAGGTTCCTCAAAAAATTAAAAATGGAACAACCATGTGACCTACCAATTCCACTTTGGAGTATTTATCCAAAGAAAATAAAAACACCAACTCAAGAAGATATATACACCCCCATCTTCAGTGCAGCATTACTCATAATAGCCAAAATACAGAAACAATCTAAGTGTACATCGACGGATCAATAAAGAAAACTGTGGTATATATACACAATGGAATATTATTCAGCCATAAAAAAGAATGAAATCTTGCTATGTGCAACAACATGGATGGACCCTCAGAGTATTATGCTAAATGAAGTAAGTCAGAGAAAGACAGATACCACATAATCTCAGATATATGTGGAATCTTAAAGAACAAGAGAAAACAAAACAAAAATCAAGCTCACAGATACAAAGAACAGACTGGTGGTTGCCAGAGGCAGGGGGTGGTAGGTAGGCAAAATGGGTGAAGGGAGTCAAAAGGTACAAACGTCCAGTTAAAAAATAAATACGTCATGGGGATATAATGTACAGCATGGTAACTATAATTAATAATACTGTATTGTCTATTTGAAAGTTGCTAAGAGAGTAAATCTTAAAAGTTCTCATCATAAGAAAAAAAATTTGCAACTATGTATGGTGACGGACTTTTTTTTTTTTTTAAGATTTTATTTATTTATTTGACACAGAGAGAGAGAGAGAACAGCAGGGGGAGCAACAGAAGGAGGGGGAGAAGCAGGCTCCCCACTGAGCAGGGAGCCCAATGTGGGGCTCGATCCCAGGACCCTGGGATCATGACCTGAGCAGAAGGCAGAGGCTTAACCGACTGAGCCACCCAGGCGCCCCTGGTGATGGATGTGAACTGACTCATGTGATGATTATTTTGCAATATATACAAATATGAAACAATTATGTTGTACAACTAAACTAATATAATGTTGCATGTCAATTAAACCTCAATTTAAAAACAAAGTGCCCCAACACTTTGTTTTTAAATTGAGGTTTAAGTGACATACATTATGCATATATGTATACACACACACACACATGCATGCACACACACACAAAGGAATATTATTTAGCCATAAAAAGAAGAAATCCTGCCATATGTGACAACATGGATGGGCCGTGAGGGCATTATGCTGAGTGAGTGAGTCAGACAGAGAAAGACAAATACCATATGTTTTCACTTAGAGGAAATCTTAAAAAAAAAACTAAAACTAAACTCATAGGTACAGAAAACAGATTGGTGGTTTTCAGGAGCAGGGAGTGAGAGGTGGGTGAGTACAATGCGTGAAGGTGGAAAAAAAGGTACAAACTTCCAGTTATAAAGTAAGTCAGTCCTGGGGATGTAATGTAAAGCACAGTGACTGTAATTAATATATTTCTAAAGTTGCTAAGAGAGTAGATCTTAAAAGTTGCCATCACAAAAAAAAAAAAAAAAAGGAATTTGTAACAATGAGTGGTGATGAATGTTACCTAATTTATTATGGTGATCATTTTGCAATATATACAACATCAAATTATTATGTTGTACACCTGAAACTAATACAACGTTGTATGTCAATTATATCTCAATAAAAAGTTTTTTAAAATTGGGGGAAATTTTCTAAATATAAGAAATGAAATATTTTTGTATTTCAAGTGCTTTGTAATAAAACTTAGAACTGACCCATAAAGACTGCATATAAACTGATGAGAAAACTCACTAAAAATCCCATAAGGTAAGGGGCAAAGAAGAAAACTAAAAAGAAAATGAATTAAACAAGTTTTAACACTTAATGATTAAAACAAAACAAATTCTCTCTAGAAAATTAATAAAAATTATTCAAAATAAGAATGGTTAATGCTGTCAATGACAGGTTAAAACAGAAACTCTCAGGGTGCCTGGGTGGCTCAGTTGATTGAGCATCCAACTCTCAATCTCGGCTCAGGTCATGATCTCAGGGTGGTAACATCGAGCCCCAAATCGGCTCTGCAATGGGCGTTGAGCCTGCTTAAGATTCTCTCTCCTTCCCTTTCCCTTTGCCCCTCCCCCATCCCCACTCAGGTAAACACGCACACATGCTCTCTCTCTCTTGCTAAAAAAAAATAGAAACTCTCATATACCTCTGTCATGAATGAAAATCACTACAATCTTTTGAGAAAGTACTTCAGCAACAGGCATAATGAATATTACAAATATTTATTCTTCTTGACTCAATAACTCAATAGGTCATTCTAAGACCTAAGTCAGAATACAAAGCTTTCTCTGCACTCTTATTTCATAAAAACAAAAAAATTGGAAACATAATGCATAACAATAAAAAGTGGTTAAGTATATTACAGCATCCTGTCATGAAATATTTTGAAACCATTTAAAATGATGTTCAGTTTTTAATAATTTGTGTCAAAATGTTATTATTTTAAGTGAAAAGGAAAAACAAAATTATATATATGTATGGTATGAGTGCAATAATATAAAAACAAGCGTAGAAAAAAAGGCTGGGAAATATACCAACAAGTGATAGTCACTCAAGAATAGACAAAGCAAATTTTTATATTTTCCAATTTTTTCATATTTAAAATAACAAACAGGGGTGCTTGGGTGGCTCAGTTGGTTAAATGTCCAAATCTTGATTTTGGCTCAGGACCTGATCTCAGGGTCATGAGATCGAGTCCCATGCTGTGTGTGTGGAGCCTGCTTATGATTTCTTCTCTCCTTCTCCCCTCCCCGACTCTTAAAACAAAATACATTTTACTTCTATAAAAGTAAAACTTAACTGTATTCCATTTTTTTTAAAAAGCCTCATATCCAAACATACCCCTTTCTCCCCCAAATACCAAATAATGGGTAAGATCTGCAACCATCAGGCCAGAGAAACTGGAATTGCTGGGAGCAGTCCAGGTTGAAGAGTCTGGCCATGAAAGGATGCCGAGGACACCCATCTCTGTGTTCAGAGTCCTAGGAAGCTCCCTGGGGACAGAAGGAAGAGGCAGAGGACGGAGGTGAGGCAGAGACATGAGGGTTCGTGGACAGAGAACATGAAGACCAACTAATGTAGACATCAGTAGCCCAGACAAAAAGACTGAGGAACAAGGTTTCAGGGAGTTATCTGAATAGCTTCCCAATGAGCCAGATTCAGTCTAAATGTGGAAGGTAAGCATCACAGGTGAGGGTGCCAAGCATCCTTCCTCCACGCCAGAGTCAGGCCTCTCATCCACCCACTGTGGAAAGACCAATTTTGTGACCCTCCCTCTTATGCCACCAGATCTTTTCAGCCTGAGGTGGCCCGCAAACCAAAGAGCCACTATATAAATGAAAATACAAAATGTGAAACTCACCAGTCAAAGCCAAAGTATTCATTTGAAGTTTCTATCCACACGAACAGCAAAACCACAGACAATAAAAATGAAAAAATCAGAAATGGATAAAATAACTGCTCTCTCTGGGAAGAGAAAGAAAAGTATAAATTAGTTCCATGTATCCACGTCACCTCGGCAGTATCTGTCTACACTTGTCAAAGTTGTGCAGAGTTGCAATGCCACGCATTACCCTCCAGAGGCTGGAGTGACCACTCTAGTCTCTTTACCCCTATGGAATTTTGTATAAGCCTATTTATAACATTTATTACACTTAAATGCAATTACATGTTTATCCGTTTGTATTTGGTGAGACAGTTTCTTCTCTGAGGAAACAGAACTTCGGTTACACACCTCCATCCTGCCAATATCTAGTACAGTTCCTTAAATGCAGCTGGCTCTTAACAGTCATCTGTTGCATTCATCCACCTCTCCATCTACCAAACTTTGTTTGCTGACTCATTCATTGAGTAATTCATTCAATCATCACTCAATGGTTCATTTAGTCACTGACCTACCCAAATTTGGGGGATGGGGGACAGGTTAGGGAATAAAGCTTTTTTTTTTTTAAGATTTTCTGTATTTGACATAGAGAGACACAGCAAGAGAGGGAACACAAGCAGGGGAAGTGGGAGAGGGAGAAGCAGGCTTCCCACCGAGCAGGGAGCCTGATGCGGGGCTCGATCCCAGAACCCTGGGATCATGACCTGAGCCGAAGGCAGATGCTTAACGACTGAGCCACCCAGGCACCGAATAAAGCCTTTTTTTTTTTTGGAGTAGCTACCTTGTGCCACTACAATTCTAGAAATTTCACAAACTCTACTTTCATTTAATTTATTTTTCAATATGGCCATATAAGCTAGGTATTGTTAACCTTGCTTTGCAAAAGAACTAAAGCTCAGAGAGGTAAAGTAATTGACTCAAGTTCACACAGCCAAGAACTGGCAGGGACACTGTCCAGACCTGAGCCTAAAGCCAGGATGGAGGATATCTTTACAGAGGAGGTGTTCAAACAGCCTTGAAGGCAACCCCGTTCACTGAAAGTCACAACACAAACCAGTCATGCCAGAGGTTGCCAAATCCTTCCCGGGAACATTAGGTTTGGGTTGTTACCTGAGTTATAATCTTAACACTTCTGTATCACCTGAATAAGAATTCTGCCTCTTTGGGACACTGCATTTAATCGTTTAACACTGGAAAGAATAATCCCTGCCCTGTCTAAATTATGGCATTATCGTGAAAAGCAAAAATAAAGAAATAAAATGGAAAATGTAGAAACTGAATTCCAAAAAGATGAGAGAGATTACAGCTATCAAGATGTACTTTCTGAGTGTAGGAGGATGAAGAGCACAGGATCTTTGACTCAGATCTTATGCTCATACTCTACTAAATCTTATGTGGACTTTTAAAAATGTATCAGATTATGTCATTACCCTGCTCAAAACCCTGCCAGAGCTTCCTATTGTAGTAACGTACCATCAAACTGCCTGCCATGGCAACGAGGTCCTCCATGATCAACCCCTGTCCATCCGTGACCTCATCCCATTCTACACACTCCATTTCTGAACTCCAGCCACACTGGCCTTCTTTCTGTTTCTAGAATATAACCGAATTTGTTTCCACCTCAAAATCTTTGTTCTGTCTGGTTCCTCTGCCTGGAATACTTTTGCCCCCAGATGTACACATGGCTGACTCTACCTCTCCATTTAGGAGACAGTTCACATGACACTTTTTCAAAGAGGTCTTCTCCAACCACTCTCCCATCCCAGGTTCTAACACATTTTCCTGTTTATTATATTCAAAGCTCTTATCACGATCTGAAATGATCTTTCTTCATTTATTGTCTATTAACTAACTCGTCTCACTAGATTGTAAACTGCAGGAGGGCTGAGGCTTTAGTTGTCTTATTCACTATGGCACATAGTTAAGTGTTCCACTAACTTGTTTTTGTTGAATAAATCCATTTCCTTATTTTGATTCTCATTGCTGCCACTCTTGCTCATTTTCAAAGATTCCCCACTGTTTACGAGAGAAAGTTCAAATACTTTAGCTTGACATAAAGATGCTTCCTAATTTGATCAAAATATTCCTTTCCAACCCTACTACTTGCCATTGTTTTATATGCCCCTAATTCAACAGTGGCAATTTGTTTTTCTTAAACGCACCACTGTGCTTCCTCTATCCCTTGACTTCTGACCTCATTCCCTCTACCCACAATTCCTTATACCAATATTTCTGTATGTGAAAGATCACTTCCACAAGTCAGTGACTCCATGAAGAGTTTATTGGGGCCTACTTGTGTGACAAGCCCAATTCACATTACCTCTTCCATCCCCACAAATCCTATTGGTGGGTACTACTATTACCATCTCCATTATTCTAATGAGGACTCTAAAGCACCAGATGTTAAGTAACTTGCCCAAGGTAACACAGTGGTAAAGCTCTAATTTGGAGATAGTCAGTGGTAAAGCCATAAATTGAATCCAGGCAGTCTTTTCCCAAAACACAAGATCTTAGTTCTTATGCTATATGCTATACTCCTTCCCCTGAGCAGAAATGGGGCCTTGAGAATTATCTAGGAACTTAGCAATTATCTAGTTAAATTTCCTAGCTATAGAGAGGCTCAGAGATCTCACATAGCCAGCCCAAGGGCAGAGTGGGAAATAGTACCCAAACATTCTCCCAGGCTCTAGTTTAGGGATTTTTCCATAATACCACACTGCCTCAAATGTCACCCTGCCCACAAAGCCTTCCTTTTCCTTCCCTCACTACATAATAACTCTCATGTAACTTACTGCCTCATCCCTAATAATTATCTGTTGAATCAATTCACTCTTCTCCATCTTTACCATCACTACTCTAATCCAGGCCACCAACATCTCTTACCTTAAATACTACTCTCACTTTATCTTTGAAGGCAAAGACATCTCCCTCCCTGTTTTGTACCTTCCAATGCATCCTCCACATGATCAAATAATCCTTCCAAAACAGATCAGGCAACATCAGCTTGAACTCTTTAGGGACTCTTTATCCCCTACATGGCAGAGAGCAAATTCTTAAAACCAAACAACACCGGTCCCATCTCCCTCTCTAGCTTCATTTCACTTCTCCGTTTTTATCCTCTGTCCCACCTAAGATAAACCTTATACCAATGCTCCTTGACTCCTCCAATACAGTTTCTTCTACCATCCCCTAATCCTTACTTACCCGATTCTTAATCACCTTTCACCTTCTATATGAAGTTGTTTTCAGCCCCTCCCTTGGCACATGGAGGCATGTATGCATATACACATAAACACACAAATACTCTCAGTATTTTGAGACTGTATTATGCTCGTCTCTTCCACCAGTAGACTATGAATTGTTTGAGAAGCAATGATATCTAAGGCATTTCTGTTATTCCTAGTCACTAGTATATAAACTAGTCCTTATAAACTATAAGCTAGTAGAATATCTAGGAAGGTAAGATATAGGAGACAGAAGAATACTTCTCCTAATCTAGGCAAGCTTCCCATTTCTACCCCTTTCCTTGTGTTCCCCATCTTAGGCATAAGAAACTAGTGATCCAACTGGTCAGAACCTCAGACCCTGGTTGGAGTGTGTTTATAAGTACATGAAGGTACAGGACATGGCCCTCCTCTTATCGCTTCAGTGTGCTCATCATTTGGTCTCTTATATCAAATGGCCCACCAGAGGATCCCCACATATGGCTGAGAGTTTAAAGTAAGAGGCCCTCAATAAGGCTAGGCCACATGCTACCACTTAGCCTTACTAAAGTTTTTCATTACGGAAAATCAGGCATTAGCCTGACCAATAATAAAGGAATACCTTGTTTCCCACTTGCTGTTATTTTTCTCATAAACATAGCTCCTTTGGGAAACTCACAATGAAGAGAGAAATAAAGATTCAGGCATTCATGTAATTCTGAGTCAAAAACATCTAATTATACCTAAACTTCACTTTTTCAAGACTCACTAAATGAATAAGAGCAAAAGTAAATCAATGAGTAAATGAATGACATAAAAGAGGTATTAAAAAAAAAAAGAAGTAAAGAATAAAAGTGAAAGAAGATGAAGAAATCAAGCATGTGTTTCTGTAAGGTTAACTTTGGCTCCAGAACTGCAGCAGGCTTTTCATCGAACAACTAGAGCCCTACCATGCCCAGTCCTGGAGACTCTAATAAGCCCTCACAGGGGCAGGGACCAGCCCATGTTCCCCACATCTGAGAAAGTATGGTCCAACTCCTTCCCATCTCTCTGTACCCAAGAGCAGCAGCAGGGTCCGGGTCTGGACTTTTTCTCCTGCTTGATTTGCCACTCGCAGTTGTAGCAACCAGTAATGAGGGTGATATAGCACTGTCGGTTGCAGCCGCATAGGATCCACGGATTATGCCTTTTCAGATTTCTTCTCCTCTGGCTCCCAGGCTCAATCCTGTTGGCCTTAGGCATGGTTCACCCTCTTACTGAAAAGAAAAATAAAACGATTAGGATCTAATAGCTCCTTCAAATGTTTCCTACCTCACTGTTCTACAGAAAATTCCATTAAAAAAAGATAGATTTTAAAAGTTATAATCTAGGATAATGCACTGGATTTGGTGGAGATGAGCAGAGCTTCACCCTACCTTTTCCACTAACTTGTTTAGTATTTACTGCAGTCATGCACCATTCGAGGTTTAGTTTTCTTACCTCTAAAGTAGGACCATATTCTCTGCCCTAGTCAACAAATAAATGCTGAGAGCATCTAATTAGATAATATATACATACTATAGAAATGATACAAATGTGTTTTTTCAACTGTAATATGCTCTTGAAATAATCTGAGATCTTAAGAGGCATGGGTGAGATATGTGAAAAATATAATCATTGACTAATAAGTGACTCAGATATATAGCTGCCTGCCCCATCCCTTTCATTCCTCTCCCATCTGGAATTAGTTAGGGTTAGCCTCAATTTAAATGATGGAATTTTCGGGGCACCTGGGTGGCTTAGTCGGTTGGGCGACTGCCGTCAGCTCAGGTCATGGTCTCAGGGTCCTGGGATCGAGCCCCGCATCAGGCTCCCTGCTCGGCAGGAAGCCTGCTTCTCCTTTTCCCACTCCCGCTGCTTGTGTTCCCTCTCTCGCTGTCTCTCTCTGTGTCAAATAAATAAATAAATAAAATCTTAAAAAAAAAAAAAATAAATGATGGAATTTTCAAAATAGCAATGGCTGAAAAAAGACAAGTTTGTTTTTTCTTTTGCTAACAAAAATATTTCAAAAAGTGGTATGGGGGGCCTGGGTGGCTCAGTCGTTAAGCATCTGCCTTCAGCTCAGGTCATGATCCCAGGGTCCTGGGATCAAGCCCCACATCGGGCTCCCTGCTTAGTGGGAAGCCTGCTTCTCCCTCTCCCACTCCCGCTGCTTGTGTTCCTGCTCTCACTATCTCTCTGTCAAATAAATAAATAAAATCTTAAAAAAAAAAATGTAGTATGTGGCTTCACAATGTCATTAAGAACCCAGACATCTTCCATCTTGCTGTTCCTCTGCAGCACAGGGCTTCCTTCTCAGGGTCCAAAATGGCTCCTCGAGCTATTCTAAATTCCAACCAGGAGAAAGCAAGAAGAACTAAGAAGGATGTTCCCCCTACTTTAAGGATACTTACAGAAGTTGAACATGACATTTCACTGACAGGGGTTTTTCTTACTAGGGAAGGGAGGAAGGAAAGAAGGAAGCAAGCAGGAGAGACAAAGAAAGAAAGAGGGAGAGAAAGGAAGATACTGAGCTATGTCTAGCTGCCACTACTGAATTTTCTCGCCCTACTGTGATAGGACACTTCCAGATAATGTATGGAATTAGGGGCAAAAAAAAAAAAAAAAAAGATAACCAAGAACCGAAATTATTTAAAAATAAACAAACAAGAAGTCTTAAAGGGCCTGATCCCAGGCAACAGTCTCTGCCCCTAAAAACTTTCTGTTGTACTCCACTCTGTTTTTCTGTGAAAGGCAGTGTTGTAGTTCAGAGTGCATAGTCTCAATGTACACTTCTGGCAAAAAATGGGAGTAACAGGGACTAGAGTAACCTTCCCAGCTTAAGTGACTAAAAAACTGGGGAAAATATGAAAGAAAAGTTTTCATACAGTGGACAATAGGCAGTGAAGGATAGCAATCCTTGAAAGAGAAGAAACAAAGGAAGTGAGTATTTGTAAAAGCAATCTGGATTGTTTCCAGGATGAAACCCTGGGATTGAGAATGTAGGTGGATCCTGGCAGTATCCCTGAACTGAGCAGACAGAAATGGAAGTTTGGGGAAGGAGAAATACCTCCCTCTGTGTCTTCCCAAGTCTCCAATTGAATAATAATCGGTACATGCTTATGAAGAAATTACCAGATGCTAGAAAAAGAATCACATAAAATGAGGTAGTTAGACAATCTTTAGAGCTCATAAAAGGCTGGGAATAGTTGGTGTTTCCTCCAAAGCAGAAAAACCTTATAATACATGAGGCACTAGGAAGCATACTCAGAAGAGTATTGCTTCAATAGTGGGAAAAAAATTAGGCCTTCATTAAAGGTTACTAAGGACTACAGC